GAATATTGAAAAGGGTTTTTTTGGTAAAGTACCCGTTTAAAGGGCACCTTTTCCCGACCACGGACATTGTTTTTTTTTGATTCAAATAATAAAGAAAAGAAAATATTTTATTCAATTTTTATTTCCCTACAACAAAATTTCGAAACAGAAAATGTTGTCTTTGGGAAAACTTCGTGATATAGGAAATAAGATAAAAAGGAATTTTTTTTTCCCTAATGTATAATGCATTATGGGTTAATTAGTAAAATAAATGTTTTAAAAAATTTAATTTGTTTTTAATTAGAAGTTTTTTTTTTCGGCGTTGGTATCAATTTTCAAAAATTTTTTGACCGAATAAAAATTTTAAAACAGATTCCCAATTAGTTCATTATTTCTAGAATTGTGATTTTTTTTCGAAGCAGATATTTTGAGGCCTAAAAATGAACTAATTGGGAATTTACCAAATATACATTATTTTACAAAATTATACACAAAATACATACAGACAGGTTTTAAAATTTTTGAAAAGGAGGACAAGTAGGAGGACATTTTTCGAGGAAGGACAGAACCTATAAAAAGAGGACTGTCCTCCCTAAAGGAGAACATATTAAAACAGCTAAAGGAAGAAATTTAAATTATATATATGTAACACGTCTGGTTTTAAATAATATTCAAAGTTTAGAAAAAAAGTATTAAAAAAACTGAGCCTTAATAGCTTAGATAAAATTAATAATGTCTATCGCTTTTCGTCTAAGCAAGTTAGAAAACTATGTTGCGAATTTCATTAATTCGTAAAAAGGGGAGAAATTGCAAAAGAATATGGGGAAAAGGGAGTGAAATAAATATTTTACAACTATGTGTGTGGAATATATTTTTTCATGTACAATTAACTTCTTATAATGATTTTTCTTACTGTAAATATTGCAATGTGCAAAACAAATTAAGGGAGGATTCAACATTATAATGGAATTATAAAGCAGTATTTTTTCGGTGTATTTATATTTTTTGATGTGTAATGTAAAATATCTATATAACGAAACTTATTCCTTTATTTGAATTTCATTTTACAGTTCGACCACATTTTTACAGAGGTGAGTATTTTGTTTTATCAGACTTTTAAACTAACTATTAAAGTAACATGATTGTGTGTTAAATAAGTTTAAAATAATTTTACTGTTGCTGTTTTTTGTTTGTTTGTTTTTTAATTTGTGGGGAGTTATTGTTTTGTTTTTTTCATACATTGCCGATTTTTTTTATATTAATAGTTTAAATACTGCATGGAACATTTCAGTAAATTTGTTTTTACCTGAGATTATTAGTAATACATTGTAAAAAAAAGAGTGTCACATGTTCGGGGCTCAAACCCCGGGTTGGGCAAGGTCGATTGAGCCTTTCAACCTTTCAGTGCATCGATAAATAAGTACTAAGTTTTCTTGGAAACTAAACGCTGGGTGTTTCACGGCAGACTGATCACGTGATCAGAACATCTGTTAAGGCCAAAGTCACGACAAGTGAGAGGGGCACAGTAGGCCTTGACTCTTATGGGCCGTTACACTAATGAGCTTAGTTTAGATTTATGTGTATATTATATTTTGCATTTAACAATTTACAAAGTTTGCTTTATTGGTCATAAATTAAAAATTCACACCTTTTCTCATATCTGTTTAAATATGAATTCGTTTTAAAAAATTAAAATTAAGTTTCACCACTAGAGTTAAATGGCTGCAAGTCTCCGAAATTGCATAATTTTGCATTAAAGCTTTTTCATAGTGTGGAGTTTATATAGCGATTGTTAATTCTTCTGCTGCGATATTTAATGTATAAATTCTGTGACCCCATAAATAAATACACAAAATCAAGTGACAAAAATTTGCCGATATCTTGAAAACACTTCATTTCCTAAGGGAAGCTCTAGTAAAATTACTACTTTACACGCCATTTTTTTTTCAAGGGCCAGCTAGGTGGCATAGTTGATTAGGCACTAGCCTTGCACGCCCCAGTTAGCGGCTTCGAAACCAGCCTAAGGCGGTGGATTTTCATGGCATAAAAAATTGGGCAGTCCACTAGGTTTGGGATGTTAAAGATCCCTGAATCCTGTTTGGTTTTGGGTGCTCTACCAAAATTAAATTTCTATAAAATTTGCATCGCCCAAAATCAGGTGCCCCCCTCTGGGGGGAAACTAAAAGTCAAAATTGCTGGGTTTTTAACTCACCAAAAAAAAGAATACCAGCCCCGGAGAATGTACTAGATCTGCAATGTTTAAAAAATCCCAACCCCATTTGAAAGAAAAAAAAAACCCTTTATCAACTCCCTGCATTAAAAAGGGGAAAACACCCTTCCCCCTAAAGAATGTATAAAGAAAACCTCACCTTTTTTTTACTTGCCTATTTTGTTTAACTGATTCTGTTAGACTTTTCCCTTTGTGATCTATTTAATTGTAAAACCCTATTTTTTTTTTTCTGGATTTTCTTTGAAAGTTTTTTATTTGAACTCTGGAACTGGAAACGCGTAGGAATAAAAGTACATGATGTTTACGAATAAAGTATGACCTATGTACTTACTATGCATGGATTTCTTTCATGTTGCGAATTTCATAATTTCATGTTTGTTCATAATTTTATTAAATTATAATATTTAACGTAGAGCTGCAATTATTTTTTTCCCTATTTTATTAAAATTTTTTTGTTTATCTTTTTCGGAGATTTCCATAAGGTAAAAATTTTTCTTGGTTTTTAAATAATTTAAATATAGTTTATTTTTTTTTGGTATATAATTAAAAAAGTTTTAATTTACGATACATAAAATAAATTTTTCCGTTTTTTTGCTTTTTTTTAAAAGTAACTTGAAAAAATTTTACAAATTTTTTAAATTGTTTTTTGTATTTTTTTTTGTTTTTGAAAAATTTTAAAAAAAAAATACTACAAAAAAATCTCTACAAAAATTCTAAAAAATAATTTGATTCTCAGCAGCAAATTAGTGCTACTAAATATTTTTTGAAACATATGAAAATGTATGCTAAATTGAAGAACAAAAACTTTTACGATTAAAAAGTGTTGGATAGGATCTTTCAAGAAAAAATTGAGTTTATGCTTTTTTTGTGAGGAGAGAGTTTACTGTATTGCGCCATTTATAAAAATCTTATGAGACAGATTTCAAAATTGGTATCATTACATTTTCCTTACCTTTTTTCATTTAGATTCTGTTTTTTGCTTGTAAAAGGAAAAAAAAATTAGAAAAATGTTTTATTTTTTTTCCCAATATTTTTTAATTTGAATGAAAAAAACATTATTCACGAAATTTAAAAGGGGTTTGTGTTGTGTTTTCACCTCTCCTTGTTTCTTTTTTAGTTCGTTCAAAATATTAATTGTTTTTACATATCATTTGATGGGAAATTTTTTTTCCCAAAAGTTTTACCCTTTTCAACGTAAGTAAAATTATTTTAATACGTAACATTTAAAAGGATATGAATGCTTAAACAAGAAGAAAACTAATTTAACCAAAATTTATTTAATTACTTGAAAAATTAATACAACAATTTTCACCTTTTTTTATTAAAAATTAAAATTAAAGCTGTATCTCCCGAAGAGATACTCCCATTAACAAAATTGGGGGATTTCCCTTTTAAATTTTGATTTAACTGCCACCCTCACAATTGGGGGAAAATATTATCGAAAGTTTACAAATTGGGGGGGTTGGAAAATAGTGTTTAGCTGAAGCTCGAACAAGCGATTAAAAATGGAATTTTCCCTTTTTAAAATTAAAAAATTTGTCCCCTAGTTTTTTAATTTGTTTTTAAACCAAATGCATTTCGGTTTGTGGGGAGTCCATTCTGTAAAGTTTTAAGACTTATTGAAAGAATCCCAGGGAAAAATAAAGCTCATAAAAAAAGGGAACTTTGTTATTTTATGAGGCAAAATTCCTGAGTGTCAGCAAAAAATTTCAGGTAAACAACTGATACGAAGATTAATTAAATTTTTTAATTTTGGTAGGGAATTACAAAAACCATTAACAAATTTTTTGGATTTTCCCGGGGTTTTGGCATCCCTTTGGGGGGTTTTATCACAACTATCGAGTATGGGTTTTCGGAGTTTGATAGAAACGCTTCGGCTTTGGAGGGCCATTACAAAATACTCCAAAATTTGGGGTTTATGAGGGTTAGATTTTAGGAATTAATTTAGGATGTTAGATTGCACATAGTGTATTCGCGGTGGGCAAGTGGTCATGGTCGCAAACTCGTATATAGTCAGGGTTCGAATTGTAGGGTTGAGTTTTAGGCATATCAAGCCGAGGAATTAAAACGTGTAGAATCTGTGAAGCTCAAAACCCACTCTTTGGCATAATATAGAAATTTAAAAAGGGAGTTACCAATTCAGGTGTTGTTCTCGCCCGCCCGCGTTTCAAAATTACGAGGTCGGCACTAAACCTCGCGTGGCTTCAGAGTGCGAAAAACTGAACTTCTTTTAATCGGACTATTACGTAACATGCTGATCCGCAAGCGAGATAGTAGGAATCACAAATTATTTTCATAACGTGAAGAAATTCTCGAAAGATACGCTAACAGCGAAAAACCTCCACCCCTTTTTGGGAAGCATCGGAAAATCGGACGTCACTTGTGGATTCCGCAATATGAACTACTTTAAAGAATAATTCCGACTTATAAATACAAAATTTAAAAATTATGCGACTTGATAGTAAGGACCAAATCTAAAGAGTTTCTCATAATTTGATCATTTTATTGATGAATGTTCCCATTTAAAAAAACCTGATCAAATCGTTTCACAATTGAATGATTATAAAAGTGTCAAAGCAAGTTCTAACAGAAGAACAAGAGAACACAACAAGCGACCATCACATGAGATTGCAGGAAGTCATGTGGTGGTGTGATATCTATATAAACTAGTACCAAACATCACGCGATGACGATCGTTTTGGCGTGGCCGATAAAGTACTTGCGTACGGAACGGAAAGTACTCAGATCTAACCTTCCTTCCTTCATTGGTGACCCTGGCCGTGCAATGCCAACGGCCATACCATGCCGAAAACACCGGTTCTCGTCCGATCACCGAAGTTAAGCATCATCGGGCACGGTCATACCGGGGTGACCACCTGGAACGCGTCTTGGCTCATTCTTCGAAACACCTCCCCCAACCCCCCAAAACCCAAAAACTAAATACAAGGCCTCGGGCCAGATATGGAGTGAAGGAGTCTGACAAGATTCCAATCTCCAGAGAATAGTAAGCCTATAGTAAGCTGGCCGTGCAAAGAACCGCACCCTTCGCGTGCCGCAGTCGTGGTGCCATCTATCCACCGCAAAAGCAACCAAGCCGTCAAACATTGACGCAAATAAGCCATTACTTCTCAAAGCCGTCTCCCACAAATGACGCAATTCTCAAGCCGTCGCGCACGATGACGCAACCCACAAAGTGACGCAACTGTTCACCTGCTCGCCACAAATATGGTATCATTCGTTCCCCTATTCGCCGAATCACTGACAGGGGGGTATGTGGTGGTGTGATATCTATGTAAACTAGTACCAAATATCATGGGATAACGATTGTTTTGGCGTGATCGATGAAGCACTTGCGTATGGAACGGAAGATAGTCAGATCGAATCTTCCTTCCCTCAGTCACTATAACCGAAATATATTCCACCTTTTTTCAGGGAAAATACCAAAGCTCCGACTATAGAAATGACAAAATCAACAGAACGAATACCACATTTACGTATTCCAACACCTGGCGAAGAATTAACGCAAAAAGATATATTAAAATGACGGTTGTGGATAGAACTATCGGAAAAACAAGAGATCAAGTAACAACGGCTGAAATTCAAGCAGAATTCCATTAAGAAAGCAGAAGTAAGGAAATTTTTTAGAGAGAGAAAATGGCATATTATATATATAGTTACTTCCTTCATGCAGAAATTGTGGTGCATGGCAAAGAAGCAATAAATATAATTGACTCTAGGGAACACTGAGAACCATCATAAATTTAGATTTAATTCCCTATGAAAAGAACAAGAAGGGGAAAATTTTTTAAAACGTGCATTCGGAGAGAGAGAGAAAGAGGCATATCTGTCGAGCCTTGTGTGAACTATGCATAAAAGATAAGAAATAATCAGATATGCTGTACACCCTTCGAAATATTAGCAATGATCACAAATAAACCAAGGTCAAGCTATCCTCCAGACGAATTCTTACATTATACGTTAAAGTATTTTTATTTACCAATGGGAAAGTGTTAATGACATCAAAGTCACTCAAAATTGCAAGGAGTAGAGGTTAAAACTCGACACAACTAAATAATCCGCAACTCTCCAACGAGAAAAATTCTTTCAGGGAGGCAGTTGGCGAAACAAGGAGCGATCATTCATTACCGGATGGCTGCAAGTAGGGATGGCGATCTGAGATCGATTAATCGAATAATCGATTCCTCAGGCCAAAAAAATCGATTTTTTTAAATCGATATGTAGCACTGAATCGATTCAGTGAATCGATATTTCCTCCTAGAAACTCGACAGTCAATTTTTTTTTGGTAAGAACCATAAAATTACTTACAATTAGTTGAATGTACTATCTTTAAAACGTGCGTAATATGGTGCGTGTTTGGGGTTAAATGATTAATTACTCAAAAACTCGCGAGATGCCTGTGAGCTTAGTATCCTTCACCTCTCTTTAATGACAAAAGCTACGTTTATAATCTTTGACTTTGTATTTGTTGATATTGCATCATTTGTTTGTGCCTTGATTGACTGATTGTCGTAATATACTGTGATTAGCAAAATAAATATTTATTTTTATGTAATGTTAGTTACTCATTGGGAACTATAAGCTATATTATCTATTTTCTAAACTTTTTAATGTAGCAAATACATTTGGAAAATAAATGCATTCTTTTATACCTGATACTTCGATATGGTAATAAAAGTAATTGTAATTGTCGATTTCCCTGAACTAAAAAAATTCCCTGATTTTACCGATAAGATATTGTTTATTATGGTACTTTTCTTGTTTTTCATAAAATGGATTTATGCTTACATTGTAAATGCAGACTTGAAAAAAAAATCGATTTTTTTAGAAATCGATCTTTTAGAACTCGATTTTTTTTCTGAATCGATTCATCAGGTTACGATTCGAATCGATTTAAAAATCGATCTTTTTCGGAAAGAATCGCCATCCCTGGCTGCAAGAGAATATAGTATGTTTTGGTTTCGAGAAGTATGTTTTCAATACGGAGGAGAGCGTGGTGGTAGAGAGGAGCAGAGATATGTGAGAAGTGCTTTGTAAAAAGAGCAAGAAAGAGGATATGAGTGCTTGTAGAACAAGGGTGTCAAACTCAAAGGCTAACTTGGGCCAAACAAACAAGGTTTAACAGTAGTTGGGCCGCAAAAAAAATCAATATTCATACAAAAGTAATTTTATTTTGAATAATACTGTTCCGTAGATCCGAGGGGTCGTGGATTTTATGCAAAACAGTCACAAAGAAAATAAACAATTCTTTAAGAGCGATGCGAATTTATTATCAAAAATCCAATCCTTTAAACACAGGATTCAGCAGCAAAATTTACAGAGTAAATATCCGAAGGTCCTCACACCTTCAACAGCAATCAAGCACAATAACCAGTGTTTAAAAATACACGTTAGTAAAGATTGTGTGTTCACAAGCACAGCTGAGCTAATCGCTAATCAAAACAATCCTCACTACTCGCTGGTTTAATCCGGACTCCTCGCCGTACTGGCGAGCATCTTTTTATAGGCGCGACAGAAACTTCTAGAAATATAACAGCTCGTGTCATTGAACGTGACACTAGTGGAGAGATCTACTACTTTCTACAAGATTCCCGAGGGTTCCGAACTCGCCAACATGGTGGCCAATGACGCCAAATTGGTCGCCAAAAATGATGCCAGCTTGGCTCTACCGCCAAGATTTCGCCAAGTTCTCATTGGATCGCCATTATAACGTAAGGGGCGGCATTGCTTGTGAATGGTACAATTTTAACATGAAATAAACATAATATAGAATAATATAAATGCATTAAACACTCAAATATATATTATTTACACTATTTACACAAAATTCGTAACAATACGTTACAATAATTATAAATAACAGAAAAAGAAAATTTTAATGTTTACATCTTGACACTTGACATCCCTTCTCTGCTATTATCTTTCCTATTTCAGGAGAAATTTTGATATTTTTTGTGTATTATTGTGTGCCGATATACTAGAAGGGCTACAAAAATGGTTGCCATGCTAAAATTGCCATGTTTAAGTTATGGGGGGTAAAAGTGTCTAAATTAAAACTCCCAGGTGTTAAAATTTATCACGAATCTGTTTTGCATAGTCACACACTAACCAGATTGTTTATTTTTAGCTTTTGGTTACCTGATTTAAAGAAGGATATTTTAGAATACTGCAAATCATAAAAAATGAAATTGTCACATGCTTGTTTATGTAAATTTTGCAAGCACTTTTTAATGAATCTAAAATCGAATCTTTTCGCTATCTTTTTCAGATATTATTACTGGTAAGGGATTTTCTGCAAGTTTATTTTATTAATAATGTTTCAATTTTACTGAAAGCTTGTCTTTTTAGTGAATATGCAAATATCATGATATAACTTTTTGTTTTGAAAAATTGAGAGAAAATAGAAAACTTTAAGTGATTGGTGTATATTTGAACAATAATAATGAAATATTATTTTAAAAGATTTTATAAATATAAAAATGTACTTCTCAAATATTTTAAAGAGTTCTAGTTGTTTTTATTTGTAACTTACAGCACTCGTCGGTATTTGAACCAATACTTTTATTGGTACTTTAGTTGACTTTTATTGTCTGTTTATTCTTTCTTTATCACTTTTATTTCTGTTTCCATTTTGTGAACTCACTTGATCTCAAATGTTTTTCAATCAAACATTTAAATGGAAATGTGGTTTCATGTTTTATATTTTAATTTTTCTTGATCAATAGGATCTTTTTGATTTTGATGAAGAATCTCATGCATGTACTATGTAATTGATTATTGGACATAATTGGATTTTTTCTACTTTCACGATGTATAATTTTAAACAGACAGAGACATTGCGATAACCTGGAAATAAAACTTCTAGTTTCGAAAATAATTTAACTGATTAAAATTTAATTGCTATAAAATTTAACAAGGTACTAATTGATTCTTAAATTTTATTCTGTAAAATCGAGAAGAATATCTATAAATTCTACTCACTCCAACATTTTCTTTTAAACTATTGTCAAGAAATTAATACTTACTATTGTATTAGGCAGAGAAAAAACATTTAAATTTTAATATTTAAATTTATTTCATGGAAATCGAAATTTTAATTTAAGCCACTTTCTTTTTTGCTTTCAGCATAATTTCCAGGGAAAGGTTTGTAATTTTTTTTTATGTTAATGTATATAAACAATGAATGAAATGAATAAGTATGAATAAATATGGGTACTCATGGGTTACGGAATTACGGGTAGGCGATTGCTTTTCCAAACTGTCACTAACGCGAGCTTTGGCTATGTAATGAATTCACTACAAATGCAACCATATAAAACTTATTAATGTTAAAAATATTGTAGTCATGTTTCATCAATTTTATCTGTTTATCATATTAGTAACCGATATAGGTAGGCTGTTCAATAAGTAATAAGACTAATTTTACTGCCACGAAACCACTCATCGTAATGTTATTTTCTGTGGCATAAGAAAAGTTTGTTGTCTGTATTAACACAAGCTACCGATAGATGGCGTGTACAGACTCATGTTCTTGAGTATCACGTGCTCGAACTGAAGCGTGTTTGCGGTCGCCTACGAGACGCGGCCAGTTGTTGAAATGGAAGCAAAAATTTTTCAAAAATCAGCATCGGAGACCTTTGACATGATACGATATGATTAAAGACTGAAACGAGAAGGTGACAATATCTTAAAACCCTTTATCACAGCAGACAAAGCTTGGTTGTATCATTGATCCAACCATAAAACAACAGACATGAATGGAAGCATACATCTTCCCCCTACTCCCAGAAGCAAAAACTATGAAAATTGGCTGGTGGTTATGACCATAATTTTATATTATTACAAAAGGGAAATTTGTGTAAC